TCCCTACAACACACAATACCAACTATTTGCACAACTGCAACCCCTGGTATATAACCCACGCGGGCCAGAAGAATCGACATCAATCGGCAGAATTTCGTCGACCATGCAGATCCCAACGATTCTCGTCACGTGCCTGCTCACATTGGGCCTGGTGGACACAAGCCTCGGGACCTCGAAGGGGGATCCCAGCCACATAGAGGAGATCTTATTGAAGAAGGTGGACACTAGCGCGAAACGGAAGGAAAATGGAGCCCCGCATCTCGGCAAGAACGTAGAAAAGTGGTTGATTAAAACCAAAGCAACCGCTAGTGCAGAGAGCAAAGCATCCGCTTCAGTAAAAGCATCTGCTCTGGCCCTAGCCGAGGCTCTCTTGCAAGCGACGGCAGAGTCGGCTAAACTTTCAGCTGAGGCTGCCGCGGCGGTGAAAGCGGCATTGGAGGCACAGCTGATTGCCGAAAAGAAAGCTTTGGCCGCGTTGCAAGCTCAGTCCGAGGAACAGACAGCCTCTGCCCTCGCGGAGGCCGCAGCCGCTGCAACGGCATCAGCCATGGATCGCGCTCAAGCTTCCTCGAGAACGGCCGCAACCGCTCAGGACGTGACGAGTGATTTGCAGAAACGAGCCAGCACTTTAGCAGCCGCCGAAGCCGCAGCCACCCTTAGGGCATCAGAGATCGCTGAAGAATTGAAATGGATAGCATCCGTTGCTGCGGCAACCTCAGCCAGTGCAGCTTCTGCCGAAGCGCAGACCACTGCTTCTTCGGAAACCACGTCCTCTGCTGCCAATAAAGCAGCCGTATTGGCCGCTGACGCGAACAGTGCGCAGGCAGCTGCCGCAGTGGAAGCACAATCCGCTGCCAAGATCGAAGCCAAAGCTGCCGCTGAGGCCTCTGCCAACTCGGCCACCGAGGACTCGCAAACCGCACAACTAGAGGCCTCTGCCGCGGCCAAGGCTACCGCAGCCGCAGCTATCGGTGATGGCGTGATTCTAGGACTTGGAAACGACTCTGGTGCCTCAGCTCAGGCACTCGCACAAGCTCAGGCACTGGCTAGCGCTGCTGCGAAAGTAGAAAGTGGTGGAAAGGGGAAGAAATTATGAAGGGGCATCTGATGGGGACGAGAGGAAGTCTTTCTTAGACGATTGAAAATTTTGGTTGAAATAGATAGAAATCGATTATTCGGATATGGTTAGTGACGGCCTGCGGACGAGGTCGATTAAAATTAAGAGTAACATTGTCGAAGTGAGCTTACCTACGTGATAATAAAGGTCCACTGTTTTAGCAGATATGTCTTTTTCTCATGATTTCATTGTGTCCTCCTTTACCATGAATCCTTTGTAGTATCGGCAATCGACGATAGTACCTATTTTCTATTTTATCTTAATGTGTGGGTGTTTGAAGATGAGCGGCAAGTGGCTTGTATCGTTAGGATCTGAAAATTTAATATTAATGATGATTATTGATAATAAATATTAATACCTGTAATTGTATATATTTTGCTCATTTCTTTCTGCCATGAAATCCTGACTTTAAATTTCTAATTTCTACACCTATATTATATATCGTATTATCTACGATAAATATATGTTTACAAAGTGTAATTCGATTGTAACGAGTATGCGTTAGATGTAGTTTGTTTTAAATTAGATCAACTAGCAAAATTTGTATTTTGTTTTGTACAAAACTAACAGGTACTCGGAATAATGAAATGTACACTTATAGATTACTTGGTAATCTTTCATTATAAAAATATACATGTTTCAATTGAGTTTCTTAATCTATGTATTTTAAACCTTGCGTATGATTACTTAATTATACACGCTTAATTTGCTCGACAAATATTGAATTATCGTTTAGTAAATGAATACTGAAATTTATCGCGTGCAATGAAATAACACACGATTTATTATTAGTAACGCAAATAACCAGTTGGGTTATTTTTAAAAATAATGTTTAATAATTATGCGAGACACGTTATTTTAATCTTGTATGTTATTTTAAGTGTTCGATCGCTATTGTAGATAATGCGTGACATAAATTTACAGATTTACTTTATAAACTCTTTAAATTTATTTCCGTTATTACTACCTGAATTTCCTTATACGTAAGACTAATTTTTTAAATCTATTACTACGTTTGTTTTTAAATAATCATAGACATACGTTAGCCTAAAAATATTCAAAGTATCGCAGGTAAGAATAATAAAAACGATTAAAATAGTTTATGTAGTTCGAATTACTTATGATGCTAATCGAGATATGGCTTTTGAGAATAGCAGATGGAAAAATAATTTTTCTATTCGATATAAAAAGAAGCAGAGAGGATGCAGTATAGTCACGATGAATATCGAAAATCGCTTTTAATTAAGAGAAAGCACGGACGGAACATCTCGAGAAGGTGAAACCCATATGGTCTTGGTAAAAGTGTTCATTCCCAGTGACTGTTTTAGCATTCGATGTTAACGACGTTTTACATCAGAATAATCCAAACGGTACAATATTTTCTTTAAACTTTAAATACATTCTAAACAAATTACAATATCTACAACAGTAATCAAAATATCGATAAAGCCTGCAGTCCTCTGTTTCACTTCCTGCAAGAAAAACACCTTGCGAAAACAGTCACCTACATTTCGAATCATTCGACACAATTGAAATAATAAATGTTCAGCCCCAAAATCTTGCATCTATTTGAATAACATAATCACTTCGTAAAAGAAACAAACACGATATCCCAGACCAGAATGCAGCTAAATAAACCCTGATTCTTCCAATAAAGACATCGACGACAAAAGGTAACACAATATTTAGAATTCGAAATGACAACATTTCGTGTAACAACAGCTGTTTTGACAATTGTCAACGGCGGTATAAAACGAGCAAAGCTCGCCACAACCGGCATCAATCTTGCGAAGCAGCCTCGAAGATGAAGATTCCATCGATACTCGCGGTGTTCCTGCTGGTCTGGGGTCTGGCTAGCGCAAACAAAGCGCCGCAACCTCCACCGAAACCCATTTCGATACACGGGAGCCCGGAACCGAAGGAACACCAACCAAAGGGCGAACCCATCCCCGGGAAAAAGCTAGGAACCGGAGCGGCGGAAGTAGCGGCTGCCAGCGGTGAAGCTATCGCTATTACTCTCGGGGCCGGTCAAGCAGCAGCAGAGGCTCAAGGTTCAGCGGCCGCGCAATCAAGCGCAGCTGCGAGTGCTGCTGAAGGTGCAAGTGAACTCTCCAACACAGCTGCGGAGCTAGTAGCCGCTGCGGCTTCAGCCCAGGCAGCTGCGGCGGCATCCTCAGCCAGCGCGTTGAAACTGAGCTTAGCGGCTGCTGAAGCAGCCGAGGAAGCCGAGTGGGCTGTGGCCGAAGCCAAGGCTGCCGCTGGGAGGGCGGAAGTTCTCGCGAAGAACGCCGCTGCAGCTAACGCCCGCGCCGCCCTCCAAGCAGAGAGAGCAAACGAGCTGGCTCAAGCTGAAAGCGCAGCCGCGGCCGAATCGCAAGCCAAATCCGCCGCTGCAGCCGAGGCTACGGCAGTAGCCCTTAAGGTCGCCGAAATCGCGGTGAAAGTGGAAGCTGAGGCGGCAGCCGCTGCCGCGGCGGCTGCTAAAGCTAGAGCAGCCGCAGACGCAGCAGCCGCTCGTGCTGCTGCAGTGAACGCCATTGCTGAGGCTGAAGTGGAAGCTGAGGCGCAAGCAGAAAACACCGCTGGTGTGGCGCAGGCCGCCGCCTCCTCAGCGGCTGAAACGCAGGCTGTTGCAGCGTCCGCTGCTGCGACCTCGGAAGCGGCCGCTGAAGCTGGCGCGTGGAAAGGTGCGATCGGATTACCGAAGATTAAGCCTCCTGCACCGAAGAAGAAAGGATGGAGCTCGAAAGAGGAGAAGTAAGGTAGCGCGATGTGCTGGAAGGGATCTAGCTGGGCGAAGATACAGGAACAGTTCTGAGAGAGGTGTTAAACATCTTCAAGCAGAGTATATTCTAGAATAGTGGCAGCAGAAGATGATTAGAGACATGATTAGTAAACGCGAATTGAAATTGTACGGATGACATTATTAAACTGTTGTAGCAAATGAGAACGAGTTTGACTGTTATTCCCTATACACACACGCATACACGCACGCACGCGTGTACACCTTTCTCTTTCTCATTGCCCTTCCATCTATCGTGGTTCGTTGTCTCGTATAAATAAATAAATGTCAGACATATGTTGGAATAATTTTGTGAAAACCCAATGGCCATATTGGTAATTGACAACGTCAAAAATTGCTTCCAGGAAAAGGATACGTGTACCGGTTGGCCGATTATCTCGATATACCGTCTGAACGTGTATCTGTCTGCGAAACGACCGTACAAGACAATCTCTAACGCTTGAAATACCACGAACTTGTGTTCCGAGATCGGTGATTCAGAAGGTTACAGTCTCTTCACTCGGAAGAACGATGCCAGTGGGCAACTTTCCCTTTCTTCTTTACTTTCCTCCCGTGATATCGCGCGATTTTACGCCACGATCGCTCCTCGTAGTTTTATCTCGTTAATTAAGCAATGGCGATGAATAATCACGGGACGTTGATAAAATCATTCAACAATGACCAGATTCACGGCAACCGGTCAATATTGAAGAATGGTATTATCGAGTTCATTTCTTACAACTTCTATCGTAACTTTTGCAATACATACGGTTGTTACGTAAACGTTATTAGCCATAAATATAATAGTCTCGATTCCTAGTCTCGATTCCTTCCTACTTGTTGCCTCAAATGGCCCGGAAGAAACTCTCTATGGCCCGTTATTATTGTTTTCTTACGCGACAGTGCTGCTCTCGCGAGAACGCAGCTTCGTTAATTGGCTGAAAGATACTTTAATGAAACAGCGAAAGTTAGTTACAAACCGTGGGTTAATAGCCACGAACCATCGCCGTTGAAATATGTGCATTAACCCTACGAAATGGGTACGCGTGCATCTTAATCGCTCGGCAATTACCATTGGTTATACGCGATACGCTTTTACAAGTTTTTGTAATGGCTAAGTCGTGATGTGGTAAGCGGTGTTTTGTGAAAGATTCGACTGTTTCAGCCTCCAAGAGAGCGCATCGTGCGTGGAAGAGTCATACGTGAAAAGAAACCGAGGAAAGAAAGGAGAACGGGTTAGCCCAGCCTCTTTTCTTCGAATACAATGACGATTTCGCGATACGTAATCACGATCATTCAATTTCGCGACATGTGATGACAATCACTCAATTTCACGACTCGTGATCACGATCATTCAATTCCGCGATCACGAACAAATTGCAAACCCATATTGTTCGGTATCGTAAAGTTAATACGAATAGATCAAGTATATTATAATAGTTGGTTACGAATTTAAATTTATGCAAACTTCTACTTTAATTCTAATCGAAATTCCAGTATTAAAATTGTGGAAGAATTTAACCAGGTTTGTGGAGCATTAATTAACATGTTTGTTATTGACAATCTGTCCTTGAGGACACAGTGAGTCACGAAACTATTCTCTCTTTTGACTCTTAATTCTCGAGTCAAACTTCAGACATATGTAAACATATTTATTCTTATTATTTTACGTCCTTATTTCGCCATAATATGAGAATATGAGAAGTGAGAGAGTTAATTAATGCATCACGGATCTCTAATAAAACTTCTTACGGATCTTAATTCTTTCTGAAGGAAATATTAATTTTATAGAACCACTAATTAAGAAAGTATTTATGATTCTCTATAATTAATTAAATCAAGGACTCGCCGATTATAGCTAACGAGCGAAAAAAAAGGCATTGATCCAAGGAACTGAAGTCAATAGAACCAAAAAAGAAAGAAAAAGAAAGATCCGTAAACTAAATGGTAACCCACTTTGTCATATATATCGCTCGTAAGTGGAATGCATTGGTTGTGGATTTGATTCGATTTACATATTTCGATAGTGTGAGAAAGGAATATATACATGATCGCGCATTTTATGTAGCGATCAGGTGTATATGCACGTCCGTCGTTGGGGAACGAGGAGCTCACACGATCGAGCATCGGGGGACGCGAACGATTCTTTGGTGACTGGTGGTTCAAGAGGTGAGAGACCATAAATGTTTGGTGGGGACTACAGGACCCCGCCCCATGAACAGCTATAAAATGCCGGTACGAGAATCGGACCCAACCAGTCTTAATCAGTACACGAAGATCCTTTTTTTCTTCCCTCTTCAGAGGTACGCTTGGGTCTGCTCTCTCCTTCCTCTCTCTCTGTCTGTGTCATCATGAAGCTCATTCCGGTCCTGTTGCTTGTTGCAACGATCGTTTTCGCCGCCGAGGAGAAGAAGGAGGAAGAACGTCCTAAAACGTTTAGAAGACTCATCCCTGCCGATGTTCTCCGCGGTGAGTCTTTTTTTCTTTCATCTTTCTGGTATCTGAAATTTGAAAGAATCTATTTTCGAAGCACAGATATAGGTATCGCAGTGCCTATATTTAATGTTTTCTGTTAGAAGTCTAGGTAAACATGGTAAAAGGATTTGATCGACTGATGAAGCTAATAAAACTGTGCCAAATTCTGAGGGGTAGTTGTAACTTGTAGCAATGTCCTTACAATCTATGTTTCCAAGTAATGATTAAACGATGTAGGTATTTTTCCTAATAAATCTCATGGAACATCTCTGTGAGTCTTTTAGTCCAAAACCGTAGTAAACTGCACCATGTGAAAGCACCATCTAAAAGTGAATTAATCCTCTTTTAGAATGTATTATAATAGAAAATCAATTTAGAATCTAAAATGCAGCAAAACTATTACATTTTATGCTGTCATAATTTTAATAAAAAGTTTAAGAGAGAACGTATGTCTATAACAGGTTTGTAAAATTAATTTCAGTTTCACTAGGATAAATTTTCTTGTTGAAAGTGAATTTATTTTCCTGCTTTCCCTGTTGTAATTTATGTTTCCGCATCACCCACTGGTATTATTCTTACCTAAAAACGTATGCCAGGATGATAGCAGTTCACTGAAACGAAGCCGTGACTCGGTACATACGTGACATGAAAGTAGGACGATTTTTATCACTGTATACTACCCAAAAGTGAAACTGCATGAAAAATATATAAAAATTATGTTTCATAAACCAAAAGTGAACACAAAGATACAAATCCAAAATCATGTAAACACATGTATATAACCAATAGATTGTCATTCGACATTTATTGTCATTCCAAATATTGCTTGATCAACTTAAAAAACATTCCCAGAATTGCAAATGAAGCGACTACTTCAACCGGTTTACAAAAATGGGCATAAATCGCAGTTTCATCTGACAATTCCTGCTTCTTCGACTTTCCATTCGCGATCGTAGAAGCAGGTCCTTGAGACCGCGCTCTTTTCACCCTACCATTATTGTTAGCATCTTGCCCACTCGCATTATTCATCGTACCGTAACACGTTTTCAACAGCAAAAAAGACAGACAGATATCTTTCCGTTCTCTTTCTTTGTTTAAAAAGATAAGAGGATAATTGTTTGCGAAGATAGGCGTGTCCACCGGCTCGTAGATCCTGATTTACCGTCACATGACAATTGAGGTGAACAACATACATAAGCAGAATAGGAAATAGTAGCAAGACCACCAATGTTGCGTGAAAGTCTTCGTGGTACGAGACTCATTTCTTCTTCTCCGACCGATCCCGTACTGTGATTCATTTCGTTTTCTCCTCTCTTCTCTAAATGGAATACCTGTTCGAAGAGACTTTCGATTTCAAGATGAATCATCTTTTACAAAATCCATCGTCGCTTTTACAATTAAAATGATATTCCTTTCTATTCTGAAATTAATATAGTATCAAAACATCGTCATAAAAAATTATTACCGATAATCAAAGTTTTCATACGTGACTTCCAGTTAGCTCCTCCATATCAATTTTTCTCATCACAAAGATTTATTGACCAAAAGTTGATGTCAGTTTCCCAAACGATCGAGTCCGCGACATGCAAATTGCAATTCTGTGAAGGGAAAACATTAATAGCATGTAACCAGGAGCACATAAGGCATACATAATAACAACGACGACGCACCAAGTACGCAGCGTGCACACAAATCGAGTAGGAAGCAAGTCAGCGGGTTTTATCGTACGGAAATCTCCGGTAAAGTCACGAGACGCATTTATGCCTGGTAATTATCATTAATGTAAAACCGTATTCTCTGCAATGATTTATAGTTTGAGATTATTGAAAAAGAATCTAAGAACAATACGGAGATCCTAGTTTGTTGATTCATACACTGTGGCCTGGATACACCGTACTTTTCGCTCCAGACCTAGATTCCAATGAATAATCGAATTGCTGACGAGTCACTGTTGGAAACGCCAAATACGGTGTCTCAGGACATTTATGTACAGTCTCTCGAGCATCGTTTACACATTAAAGACAGTCTATTTACACGCCACCATAATAAGGATAATGAGATTAGATGATATTACGAAATTTTCGATAGGGGACGACGGTTCGTACACTGATTAGTCCATTCCATACTACATCAAACATTTTGCGATCGAACAGTTCACTGTTTGTGATGTACAAGTGATATACACGTAACAATGAGTCGACACATTTTTAATTCATATAAAAAATTTTGTGGAAGAGTATCTAATCTATATTTGTATATCAACCATGTATCTTGTGACTTCTAATTGATTTCGCATCGTTCTGTATTAAATTCAAAATTTTAGGTATTATGACGCGACATGGTATATTGTTAGGCATGGTAAATATAAAAATAAATTTCATAATGCAAGCAATGTTTGTAAAATGTTACATTTAAATGATTATTAACAAAAAGGAAAGTAATGCCTATTTAAGTATAGTTGCACGTGTTTCCACTGAAGGTAAATTTCACAGTCACGAACGTCAGTTCATGTGTACCCGTTTCGAAACAGGGTGATTACAGAAAGTAGGACCTGGGTTGGGTCATCGGCAACGAAAGTAGGGCCCAAATGAAAATTCGTGGAGAAAAAAGCTGATTGCATTGTATTGTTCTCCATACCTTCGTTGCTTTCCAACAGAAGATCGTTACTCTTCGATTATTCTTGCAATGTGCAATTCTTGATTGCAGTCTATGTCCACCGACTAATTTTCTAAACGGGACATGCACCACTGGCTAACCACACGACAAACAACGTGTCATTACATAGGAATATCGCGCGTTTATTAAAACGATAGACCATCGATTTGTCAATCGAAAAAATAAGCAACTGAAGCTGCAATTATCTTAACCTGAAACTCCTACTTAATCAGTGTTATCGAGATTAACAAATACAAGAACAGATCATGTATGCAATAAAATGTTATTATAATAAAATAAAATATGTATATATAGTTACATTTAACTATATTTGTCTATATTTAATATATTATACTATATGTCATGTATTTAACAATATAGCTATATTTTATCGTATTTATAATGCATCGATCACATTATAATGCATTATGGAAAATATTTAATGCATCGTGTCTTAATGTATTCTATGTTATCATATTTCTCTAACTATTATATTCTTTTAATCATACATTTTAATGCAACATGTGACACATTAATATTCTTTTGCATCTGTCTTGCTTGAACAAGTAGATCAAAGAATATTTTTGACCGTGCAATGAAAGTTTCGTTTCCGCCATGAGTATCATGGATCACCGATGGCTCACAGAGTACGGAACATGTTCACAGATGAAAACGTAGCCGGTCACAACGAAAAAACCAAAGTGAACGGACGTAACGTTACACTTACTAACATGAAAGTCGACCCTTGCAGGCAGATGAATCTTAATGTCGGTGAAAGTCTAAGAACGTACACTATAAATCATCCTTTACCTCTTCCTTAAATGGCTCTCCTCGGAAACGATGAGAAACGTTGTTCTTTTAACGAGAATTAGATATTAATTTGCACTACGTTTTTACACTATAAAGCCTTCCACGCACATCGGTGCACATAACACGCATAAAAAACTTGCGTTTTAACATATTTATCGTTCAAAATTGTGACTTTTTACCATGTAAATGGAGTCAGATTACATTGTTTTTTTTTTGCCGATAAATTTATAATAGTATTAACGAAATTGCATAGCAAATCGTGATAACGACTCCTGTGTCCCTTTCTTCTTTCGGGATCTTTTTCGATCAACATGAAAAAAATACAAGACATCTTTCCCTTAGATCTGTAATTTGCCTATTAATTGATGCATAATCACATTCAACGGCCTTTTTCGAGACAAAACAAAGTTCATTTAGTATAGAAAGGAAAGTGAAACTGCTCACCTATACTTCACTTTCGCAACAGTTATACGGTTTGCAACGTACATATATACATTCGACTTTTCATATTTTATTAACGATTCCAGATTAGATTCCACATTAATTATTTTCATTAATTAGTTAGTAGGAACCAACATTTCTTTCTGAAACTATCTTGAAATAAATCGATGGCATGCATAAGAATTGTATCATTGCATTATTATAATGTGAAAATATTACCTAAAAATATTTTTTCTGTTAAATGCTTAATTTTTCACATAAAATTTATAAAAAAATAATAGATAAAAGAATAGATAAAAAGAAGTTTACGACGGTTAAAAGTGTCGGAAAAAAGAATCTTGGTAGCCGTCGATATCGAACCAGAACGTTCTACTGATCTCGAATGTTCGATTGGACATCCTAATGTTGGATATAAAGTCTCATGAACCACTTTCTTGTGATCCAGGTGTCCCACAAGAACTGATGTCATATACATGCCACAACACTTTTAACGTTGACATAAACGGCCATCGCGTTAAGCCTTTGACATAACGAATCTGGCATTGAGAAAACAGTAACAGACACGTCATTATTCAAATAGATCACATTCCTACAAGGTAACGAACAACTCGTACTTAAGCACGCAACGTTCTCCCCTCATCTTTATTCTGTTTATTACCTATTGAACTTTTCTTCTATCATTGTAACTTCTCCCCATGATGAATTTTAAAATAAAAGAGTTATCGTTTTTTCAACATGAATTTAGGCTGTAAATAATAAACATTTAAGTAATATTTTAGTTACTTTAAACAGCATTTATAATTAATTTAATATTGTAGGTTGTATAATATTTTAGAGCTCCTAATACATTACATTATCTTAGTAAGCGATAAGGACGCTTAAGCTTTTCTTTCTTTTAAGTAAGAAATATAAAAAAAAGGTGATACAATACAGTAATCAACTTACAATTAGTTGGAGTTTGTGATAATTGCGCAAGTGGTAACACGACGTGACAGTGAAAGTGTTTCTCCTTGAAGTTTCTAGTCCGATCACCGCCAATGAAACTCTTGTATCGTTTATCTACGATAAATCGAGACGCGTTACAATGGAATACCAAATGTGAATGTATCTGTATAGGTTTAGAAGGCGCGACAAGACGTTCGTTAAAAATAGTTGCATGTTAGAAAGTAACGACACCTTTCACAAGTGTGCAAGTAATCAAATAATGCGGTCTATCCATGCATCATGCACAGCAGTGATGCGATTTGTCGATGAATTGCAATCTGAACGAATGATTGCTCATATAGGATGAGATTTTAACTTTTACATCACAGCTGGTGAAAATCTTCACCTGAAATGCAAAATATCTTCGAAGAAATTACATAAATGTAAATGCACTATATGCATTTATACCTTCTTTATTTCCTTCTGTTTTAAAAAAATATTTCGAATACAATATAATTATTTTTTGTGCAGAATTATGGAAATAATCTAACGTTTGATAAGAAATTATTAAAAATCAAATTCTCATGTATTGAAATATTCAGTCTAAAATTTCTAAAATCTTTCGAATAAAAGATACCTGTTATTTCTGATGGTCGAACTAATCTATATGGACTCCTTTCTCCAGAAAGAAAAGCTACTAGCTACGATGTTTTATTGCATAAAGAACTGTCCTATTATGTAATCAAATCTAGTGTTCCAGTTAATGCATCATGTCAATCCGATACCTTCTTTATGTAATATATTTTATATAATTCGAAAACTTGTATTCTACAAAAACGTTATTGGGAATTATCCAATACATTACGTTGTTCGATTGTTCATAATTACTTACGGTACATATAGTGACAACTTTAAATTGACATAAACATATTAGAACAATAAGGTCTAATAATTTTCAAACTTTAATTCCCTGTTGAATTCTATTATTTTGCTGAATTCTTCTATTTTTTGCTTGTAGATTTCCCTGGTACGTGCTTCGCTTCTACAAAATGCGCCACCTTCGAACCAACAAAATCCTGGGATTTAACTCCGTTCTGTGGTCGTTCCACTTGTGTGCAAGCCGATGACAATTCTGGTCGACTTTTTGAACTTGTTGAAGACTGTGGACCGCTCCCAAAGGCCAATCCAAAATGCAAACTCTCAGATAAAACTAACAAGAATGCCACATTCCCAGACTGTTGTCCCATCTTTGAATGCGAGGAAGGAGCAAAACTCGAATATCCGGAAATTCCAACTTTAGCGCCACCCACAGAAATCATAGAGATCGAGAAAACCCCAGAAGCGGTTCAAGCGAAAGCTTAAATTCTAAAAGAAAAGAAAACACGCAATTTGTAACTTTTGCAAACTAAGTTGAAGAATCGATTAAACAGCATAAATTATATCCTGAAATAATAATTTTAATATCTGAAAAAAGTAATTTCAGTTAGAAATTTGTCGGAAAGAATGATAACCTCTTTTTATTTAATATAGAAAAAATATTACCTTTAACATCGCTCATTGACACAAATTATTTTATGATAAAAAGATCATGCATTACAAATTCGTGTTACCCTTCAATACAATTCGAATTAATGTGAAATTAAATATTATATATTGTATATAATTCTGAAATTATTTTCGTTCTTGCAACGATATGAAATTGTAAACATACATCACGTAGATAAATGTAAACATAATGGTAGTATTATCATTGATAAACAATAGTACGAAAACATCAGTAGTACGGCAGCCACTCTAAAGTATCGAGTTTCTTCAATCTCCTAGTCCCGAAAATTGAAACTTAGATGCTCCTGTCTGTTTTGTAATTCCACCTTAAACATTAATTGTCACGTAGAGAACTAATTCTTTCTTTTTCTCTATTTTTTTAAATGTAAAAGGTATTGCGTATGTAATGGAAAAACATGTGTGACTGTAATTATATGTGATTAAATTAATAATACCTATTTAATTCAATACTACATATTTTATTTATTTTTTATCCCATAATTTCCTATAGCAATGAATATAATATACGGTAGTTGCTTTGATAAATTAATATGTATAGTTTCTGTTTAAATTTTGTAGTTATTTTTTTGGAATCTTTGTCCGCAGTGTTATATCTAAAGGAAATGAATTTTATTTAACCTAATTTTATAATTTAACTTTATATATAACCAAAATTTTTATTTTAATGATTATAATTGAATTTTAAATCACATCAAATAATTATGTTTACATTAAAAGTAAAACAATGTAATTTTTTCAATATGAAAAAATTTACGTAGTTATCTTGTTACACAATTGAGGAGAATATGGTATATACATACAAATCAAAATAGCAGTTGTTTATCTAATATTAGAATATTATCGTAAATAAACAACGTGTATTTTACTAGAAAAGAGGTTGCGAAAAATCATTTATTTGATTGTTACCTTTGATGTTGGTATTATAGAGCAATAAGTGAAGGTTTCGTTTTACTGTTAGATATGTTGGCAGCCTGGAAAAATTGTTCCAGCAAAATTCGCTGTTTAACCAAATTTAATGGACGTGAGTACAAGCGTGAACTGATTAGAATAAGCGTGAAAATTTACGGAACTGTGTGTTATATTTTAAATTCTTCTAATAGCTTACGACGAAAATGAGTGAACTCGTGTGGGGAATAAAAAATGGTGATTTGGAGCAAGTGCGGGATATCGTAGAGAACAAGGCAAATATATGAAACGTTAAATAATTTTTTCTTCTGTTACTTTTTGATTACTGCTAATCAGGAATGTTATAAAGATATTTCTTTTAAAGTTTAATATTGTATTTTACAAATTTTATGTAACTTTAAGTACATACAAAAATTCTTATTATTCGATTAAAATGATGGTTGTAAAAATCATTTATATTTTCTTTCCAAAGTCGATATATATATGTATATATTCTGCTAGAGGTGAATGTATATTAAATCATTTAAATGTATTTCTGTTAGTAGAATATTGATGTTAATCAAATGATTGATGGAAGGACACCCCTACATTATGCAGCTGATTATGGTCAAAGTGAGGTAGTCAGATATCTTTTGGAAAAGGGTGCCAATGCAAATGTAAATATGTTATAAATATTAAATGAATGTATGAGACATAAACTATCTATCCTGTTAAATTTTGTACATGATATTTTATTGGTTTTGGTTTTACTCTAAACATTCAAAGATAAAAATTATAAAATATTGATCTATACATTGTATTATAATTTAAGTAAAATGAATTTACTTATAGGTTATAGACAAACATGGAATAACAACATTGTTAGCAGCAATTTGGGAAGGACATACAAATTGTGTAAAATTACTACTAGAAAAGGGAGCTAAACCGGATGGATTAACACCAGATGGAACCAGTTATTTGGATGCAGCTGAAAAAGATGAGATCAAACAATTGCTTAAATTTCACTAGCACAAAGCCAAACAAATCATAAAGCAATAATTTTGTTATTTTAGTATTTTAATGTTCCTCATAGGAGTATCACCATTGCTTTGTCTTAATTTTTTGCATATGACTAGAGTATCATATTTATGCACTTTAAATTAAAAAACAAAAAAATATAGGTACACAAATGTAGTTTTATAATAATATATTGCACATTTGGAGTATATAATCATAAACTCATATTCTTATATGGTTACTCTTAGGGATTTAAAATATATATAATTTCAGCTTTAAAATAGTATATCATACAGATTGTTTTGCAAACTAACAATAGAAACAAATTTATTTTTAAAGCATGTAACATTATATAGCAAAAGAATATTTTGATACATTTGTAAGAAGCCGTATCGTGTTTTAAATATTTGTTATTAATTTATAAATGTTATAAATTTCTTTTATACATTTTTTTACAATATACCTAAAACAACTTTTTATGACAAAAAGTTGTAGTATATATTAAAATTGCTGAATGCTCGTATTGAGATATACTACATAATTTAATTAAGTTTCAAGAAAGACATGTATAAATTATAGAAAAGAAAATTAAAGAACTATCTTTATGGTACTAACTATCTAACATGTCTCAAGAAGTTTTAAAGGTGTATAATAATCAAAAATAATAAGCCAATGCATCATTGTTATGTATATCGTTGTATTTTATTAAACCCATATTTATCATTTAGTTATTACTCATTATTAATTATACATATTCTTAAATAACTTTATATACCAAAATTTATTTATTAAATGTCAATTATTAAACATATAAACTGAATCTTTTACAGCTGTAAAACCTATATCTTTACTGAAATTTTATTTTTTTCATATTTATATACAATACATTGTAATAATATATTAAGCATTTTAAGAAGTAGCATTATATTTATTAAATATGGTGCAGTTTATTCTCTATTCCTGGATTTATTAAATCTACTTTATTTTGTAAACAAAAATTATAATATTTTAATAAATAATAAATATAAAATAAAAAAATAATAAAACATGTTAAAAATGATTTTTAATAATAAATAAAGTATTTTATTAGACATTTTATGCAATTTAAAACCATAGACATACATTAAGAAAGAAAAGCAAAATCCCGTTTATTAATTAAATTTTATTAGTTCTATATAAAATATTTCATACATTATAAAAGTCGACCTCTGCAATTAGATGCACCACACTTACATATGATAACTTTACCTGGTATACTTCCAACATCATAACTGTAATTCCATGTTAATTCTTGACCAGCTCTTATATAATTTAAAGCAAAGAATGCCACCCATGGAAATCTTACATCATGTGTATCAACAAATACATTTTGTACAAAAACATTTGGATCACATGAATGCTGAAAAATTACAAACAATTATATTTTAAATTTAATAGCAAAATTAAAAATATTTCAAACACTTTCATTGAAACACATCTCACGTTTAGGTAACGTCCAATATTTCCAGTTGTTTTAGCATCCATTATATAAACAGCTTCATCTACTCCAAAGAAATCTCTTACTGATTTAAATTTAGGTCTTTCTATCTGCGTTGGTTCCACTGTTGGATCAAATCTACTTGGTTCGCGTCTACCACTTCTATTTTCTTCTTCATCACTTATAGTGATTGCATCTTGATCATTCGAACGATTTTCATTAGTAGAAGACTTTGTAATGTTTTCGGAAATTTTAGTAGCGCTTCCATCTTCGCTATTTTCTTCAGATCCATCTTGATTAGCATCATCTCGTTTTCGTTTTCTTAACCTTTTTCTGTATTGTTGTATTTATGTTAATCTATACTGCATTGTTTCTTATAATTAATTTCTTTTTTTTACCTAATGGAAGATGGCTCTGTAGAATCTACGTTGAAGTTTACATATTTACTAATATTAAAATCTTCGTCCGAATCATTTGCATTTGTTTTCGTATTATCTTCATCGTCACTCGTCACTGATTTTTTTTTATTTTCTGGTGTAGATAATGGCATTTCTGGTTCAAGAACATCACTTTCATAACCTTCCTTAATACTTTCTACTACTTCAACATAATCTAACTCAGCTAAATATTCATCTCCATAGTTTTTACCACCTTCATTAGCACCCTGAAAATAAAGAGTAAGTCTTAATGTGATTGGTTCTATTTGTAATATATCTTATTTATAATTTTTTTTACCTGTTCTGTAAGTAGTCTACCAGCATATATACAAATAAAAGATCCAAGAGGAATATCATTTAGACATCGTATACCCCAGCCTCGAGGAGCTGTTTTAAACACTTGTAATTTCAATGTTAATGGATGTTGAACCACTCTGTTCAAACAAGTTTTTATAGCACATTTACACCCAGAATTGCATTCATAAATTCCAGTTGTAACTGGCTCTGGCAAACGTTTATATACATAACCCACAGATGTATTTGGTACTCTTCCTCCAAGAGTAGCACCTTGTATTGTTAATTGCCAACACTGACATTTTGTTTTGTCCTAAAAGATTCTTTGATTCATTATTTTATAATCTATATTATTATAAGAAAAAACATACTTGACAATCATCTTCACAATCGCAACTACACAGAAAATTGGGATCTAAATTAAGATTAACTCCTTCTGTTGGTTCCCTTTGAGTGCTATACCTAATGGTATCTGGTTGAGTGTGATCTAATTCATTGACGCATGGTATCGGTACATTTTCTACACCATAACTAAGGTCCTTGAATTTGAAAAATAATTATATTACAAAATATGAAATATCAATTATACTTAGTAATCTTAAAATTATATTCACCTTTATATTGATAAAACACTTATCCAAGACAAATTCTGCTAGACAATGCACCCAGTAATCAAAATCAAATAAATCAACTGACATTGGACTACCAGTTTTGCGAAGATACTGATGTAACTCTTCCATATTTCGTAACCTGATACCACATGGAGCTTGGTATAATGTAATTTTTTTGCCTTTTGGATATTTACAAAGTTGTCTATTCCAACCACAAAGTAATGGTATTGAAAGAGGTGAATAACCCCTTAAATCATCAGGTGTAAAGGATATTCCTTGAACACACTGAGGACCACAGTTATGTGGAACAAATTTTTTTGTTTGAATTTTGTTCTGTGTTTGATAATACTAAAAGATAATACTTCATTTTTAATTTTTTGTAAGAGATATGATGGATTTATTTTATGTACTTACAACAATGCTATGAGAAGGTTTTGTTTCTGTAGTAAGATTATAGGGACTTGTATCCACAATACTTTGCTTTTTACTAGTACTTTTTCTAGCAACAGCACGTGATTGCTGCGGTACATTTGACGTAAACGTATTTGTAGTTTCATTTACTGTATTTTGTTCTTTTTCTAGCTGAGAAAGCCTTTCTTCTTCAGATTCTATATTAGACGTATATTCTACATAAGGTAAATTACTCTTCTAAAATGTCAGTAAACTCTATATTAGTAAAGTATCTTATAAAAAAAATAGAATGATTTAAATATTTTACAAACATTAGAAACAGCAGGTAATCGATGTCGACTCGGAGTATTAACAGATGCATGATGTCCTTGTTGCCTAGCATTGGCTTTTAAAAGTTCGAGATATAGAGGACCTAATCTAGCAGAACCTCTGTAGATCCATTCTGTTCTTCCATCAGCATCGAAGTGCATTTGTACTAAACTTGCATCAAGTTGAACTACTCTTGCAATCCACCATTTACCATTCCATTCTGTTTTTACTACTTGTCCTGTTTGTAATTTTACCATTGGCCTTTCAGGGTATGTTTCAATATATTTCTTCACAAAATCACGAGATTCATTAGGTATATCTTCCCAAACCTTAGAGGAAGATTCAGCGACTAAATAAATATGTTTATGCTCAACATATTGAGCATATCCATCATCAAAGAATATCAAGTATCTAAATAACAAATTTGCTATTAATTGATATATTTGTCTACTATATATTATTTATACATTTAAAATTTTATGTATGAAATATACCTATATTTATTTGTAGCTTTTGGTGGTTCAGCTATAACTCCACTGTAGAAATTACTAGATGAAACATCTTTAAACACTGCAACTACTCGTGTACCAACTGGAATTATTACTTGACTAGTTACAGCAGCTGCAATTTGCTTACCAGAAACTGATTTAATAACAGAATTATACTTTTTTTGTAATAATTTTACACGACAATGCAAAGGAGTTCTTAAAAGTATAGTTTGCACCTAATAAATAGTAAATAACATTTTAAATATATTTAATATATATTTAAACAAAATTCAAATAAGATATAATCACAAACCTTTCCTTTAATCCATGGCATAAGTGGATGTTTCATAATGTACACAATGCTTTCCACATCTATTTGTGCTCTCACAATTGGACCAATTGGAGGTAAATCCAAAACCACAACTTGTCTATTATCTTGTTCAATTGGTAAAATTTCTGGTTGACTGTCTTGTAACATTGAAGATGGAGGAACTCTTATTTGAGTAACTTTTTTTGTTGCCACTAATGGATAAAGAATATTGTCTACATATCCATCATCTATTTGAAGCTCTTGCCGCATTTGAATTTGTGGCCTGAATTCATCATATAAATTATTACGTAATGTATCCATAGTACGCATTAAACCTTTGACTGTTTTATCCAGGACATCATTTTGTTCTATTTAAAAAAATGATGTAGCCTAATGTAAATGAGATAAACATAAAATATACATTGTAAATTAATAATGTACCATCTAATTTATTCCATCGATCTTTCAGTATATTGTGGGCTTGCTTAATTTGATAATCAACATCATACTTTTTGAAAATACTATTTAATGTGCAATCTAACATTTCCTCTATATCCATAAGCATTTCTTCTGGTAAACATTTTTCTAAAACATAAATGTAATGTTTATCAGCATCTTAAACATAATTCTAGTTTAATTGTAATTGTAATTTTACCTTCATCATATACATCTTTCTTTTTTTCATCATCTGAATCATCACTGTCAGAAATTTCTACTTCCATTGTATGGTCTGGAAATTCACATTTTAATAATGGCTTATGATCCACAAAAGCTGTGACCAGTTGCTATAAAAATTAATATTATAGTATGAATGTCTAAATAAATTTGTTTGCTTTTATAACATTGTATCAAGCTTATTAAAGTAGGTATTCCAAATCTCAAACCTTTTGATGTTCTAAAGCAGCATTAAAACACTTTCGACATATCATACGTTCTTTCTTTTTTTCTGTATTTACTCCATAAAAAGCACATGCAAAAGAAGGTGCTAATTTCATATCCACTCCAGAAGAACATTGAAAGTTTATACAATTAGTATTACAAATTTTTGAACTTTTATTTCCTTTTGTGTTATCTTCTGATATTTCATCATCCGAAACAAGTTCAATAACTTCCATTTTATGTATGATATTAATAAAAGAAAGTGTTATGATTTTCTACTAATTTAAGGAAACAAAAAAATTTTCGTTTATTTCTAAGAATAAATATATAAATACGATTTGCAGGTTAGGTAACAAAATTAGAGGTTAAATATCTAAAATATAAGACAGTGTAATTTACTAATTTAAAATTTGCTTATATTAATGACAAAATCAATTTCTTTAATAAATTATTTAGTTCAATATTTTAATGAAATAATCTTACCTAATATTTACTTTCAAGTTTGAATTTAATTCATATAAAAATATTTAAACATTTTGTATTTCAATAATGCTACATTTCTTTTCTTTATATTCATTTATACTATGGTAATTAACAAATTTGAACGGTAATACATAAACTGTCCATCATTAGTTTATTTACACTGAGATGATTGAATTGGAACGAGCCGGATAAATAAGTGCCCTCTATCAAATTGATTAGCGCGGGAAAAATATCTGTTCTATTATCTCAGATAGAACGAAAATTGGTATTTGACAAAAAAATCGAATTATATATTATACAAATAAAAATTCAATTATTTTAGCGAATATTAGACAACAATTAACAAATGGGTTTATTTTTACACGAAACAAATAAAAACATTAAAAATGCACATGTCTTGAATATTTCTTTTATTTTTATTTTATCATATTCAATCAATATGTATTGTATCTACCTAGCCATTAGTATATTTAAAAATCACAGTCTTAGTTGAAGAATTGACAGCAGAAAATACTATCTGTATCCTATCCATATAGCAAATGTTTACAATGTACATAATTTGCTTCTGTATACATACACTCTGTATGTATGCTAAATGAATAATTATGTATATGTGTTATGTACAATAAGTTGGATTATGTTGACCTACACTTTCACTGTTGTGCGTAATTGGTAATATTTTTGCCCATTTTCCATCAAAACAGAATTTTTTCAATTATACATAATTGCATTCTCTATCACAATATTATGAAATTTAATTACAATGAAAAGATACCTATTTGTTAAATTTTTTGGTATTCTTTAATATTCTTTAACATTTATTATGTATATTTAAATTAACAATAGAAAATAAAATATTAATCAAAATAATGTAATTTATAAGACTTTGATTATTGTATCTTAATATCCCAGATTTAAAAATTTAAAGAATATATACAACAAATCATAATATACAAGGACAAAAGCATGCACTTCAATGTTATAAAAAATAAGGAAGACCCAAACAACAGTATTGTTATACACAAAATTACTTATAAGATATTGAGAGAAAACTGAAATATTTGGCAGAAAAATTTGTAGAAATAAATTATTGCTTTAGGATTCTCTTGTAATAGATATTCAGAGTGTACTTATTCTTATTTCATATACTAGCGATATACTTAATTTATGCTGTAGTAGATATTTTTAGATATCTAATACTTAATATATCAAGACTTATTGAAAATTCTTTTTCCATAATGATTTATAATGAAATATACCATCCATATTAATACAAAATTGGTGTATATTGCAAGTTGAACGATCTTCAAAAATTATAAAGATATATTACAATATTTAATGGTATATATTCATTATGAATCTAATATAAGTGCACATGTATAAGATTTCCACTTTTACAAGAATTTGTAAAAAGAAACTTGAAAATGATAACATAACTATTAATTACTCGATGGAAATTGGGCATTACATGATATTTATAGGCTATTCTTATTTGATTAACTAATGAAATAATTTATCCATAAAATTTATAACTTAATTTAAATTAACATGAGAGGAATTTAAATGAATACTTAATATCTACGTATTTTTGTAGATATCATAATGAAACATATTGTAAGAATAATTATATATTAACAAATATTTCAATGCATTAGAGTATTAAAACCAGTTATCTCAAATAGAATAGCCTGTATAATGTACACTTTAAAAATCTCTAGATAGTACATACCATATATTTACATTAAATTTCACTATTTACAGAAATGCAGAAATATTATTACCTTCAATAAATGTAAGTTGACCCATGATATAAAGTGGAATATTCAAACAGAATATGTATTAATACATGAAGCATAATGCTTCGTGATTCTACTTGCAGAATACAGCTTGTATGTAATATATTACATAGTATTTCTTCAGTTACGTATTTTGTATTTATTATAAAATAATTATAAATATTATTATTGAATATAATGAAAAAAAAAAAGAAAAGAAAAAATACATTATTACCAGAAAAAGAATAAGCATATATTTAATATAATAAAAAATAAATAAATAAATAAGTAAAATATATACATGCAAGTTGTATTCTGTAAAAAACATTCATTGTAACTTGTACTATAGACAAAACATTTCTCTGCATATTATCTTCTGTTTAGTTTATAAACAAGTAAATTTAGAAAAATATTTTGTTTATGATAAGTGAATTAAATTCCCTACTTCTTTCATATGCGACACTAATATAATGTCTTTTATCTAATCATTGCAACATAATAAAAAGATGTGCCAACAACTTCATTTAACATTAACTAGAAATTATTATGGATGTTTGTATTTTCCTTTTGTTTTTAAAATACGAATAGTAAAAGATATACCTTTCCTATTCGATAATATAAAAGCAACTCAACTCTTTGGTTACACAAGGAGAGCTAGGTTGCATACTTTCCTTTCTAAATGGCAATAATTAAATGCTCCATAATCGCAACCATTGGAAAGTATACTTCCCCTATATTAATATTTTATGATCTTTAAAAAATTAATAGTTCTTGATTATATTATTAATGAAATACCATTCATTTAAGAATTGCAACAAATATAATATACGATTTTAGAAAAGAAAAATATACAATCGTAATTCAGTCTGGATAATTTTTAAACTACAAACCACAATAATGTATTTGCACTATACAAAAAATTATGTATATATCTCTAACTATTAAAATTAAATTATCCAACAAAGTGGTATTTGTACCAGAAACAAGAAGGCAATTCTTCTAGTCCCAATAATATAAAAGACAAAAGAAAATTACAGTATCTGTAAAATGAATATATACAAACATGGAATACATATTATGAAATTAAAACTGTTTGCAATGGCAATCGATTAAATATAGTAAATTCCATATAAAACATCTCTATTACATTAGAAAGACATACATATCATGAAAATGCTTACACTTTGCCATCTTATCCCGTACAAAAGACGCTTTTCTTTTTACCTAAGCTAAAAAGGGCACCTGATGATGATTTGAACAGTAAAATATGAATTTACTAGCTATAAACTTCTAACATGAAGACAAATATTCTACAAAAAGGAATGGTGTGTGATGTACATTAACGATTAAAGTTTTATGAAAATCGTTCAGGTTTGTTAATACTTAAATTGTTTAAAAATAGCAAAACATTGTCTTGCTTGCATAAAAGCATGTATATCTGTATATCTTTTAAAGTCTTAATAGTAAGACACTAAAAAATTATCGTAACGTTTTTGTTCTAGCTTCATATTATGCATTAGTTAAAATTCCTCTTTTTTCCGTATTTATAAATCAAAACAAAAAAAAAAAAAAAAAAAAAAAAAAAAAAAAAAAAAAAAAAAATTTAAAAAAATAAAAAGAATATTGAAAAATGAAGCACACTGAATGTTATATATATGAATGTATCAATATAAAGAATGGTATGCTTAAAGTACCGCTCGTACGTATGCAGCATGCATGTGCAATACTGTAATGAGTGGTGTGTGTGGCACCAGGAATGTAACGTAATATATAAGAAAAACATTATATTATGTGCTGGCTGTCGTCAAACAGTAATACACGAGATCAGCTGCTGACAAAGTTGACTGTACTGTAATTGGTCCCCACTAATTCTTCGCATCTTAATACCTTTTACTTCCTTCTCTTCAGATTCACATACTCTAAGTTCAATTTGAACACCACCTGGGTATTCTAAACTAAGCCCGCCACCTTTCACTTCCTCTCTAGAGAAGACAAATCCTTTTGGAGGGGCTCTTGCGTCTATAATTTGTTTTACACGGCCTAATATAGCTTCTGAATTTAATCTACTCGATTCATCCGACAATGTAACTTCGACTTCTGTAGGTATTGACGTATTCAGTGGCCTACCAATACCGCGTGTGATACTAGGTCTTGATGGATCACACGGTTCAGAGATGATAAAGCTGGGAAGAGGACTGTAATGAGGCAACGTATCTTCAAGCGAATCAGGCGATGGAGATGGTGAAGGTGAACAACTAATTAATGTTACTTGTCCTCCAAGATCTGTTATAGATATTTGAGGTGGTACCTAAAACAATTAGGATAGTTATTTTAATTAAATTATTTTCAGAACAGAAAATTATAATCATAAACAGCAACACATTAAAAAATAATAACATTATTTAATTCGTATTTAAAAGTTATTTACTCTAGGTATTTCCACAGGATGTTCTTCTTGAATCATATCTAAAGCTGGACTATTACTAGGTGAATAACTAACTGGTGTAGTAGCCGGTGATCTATGATGCCTTAATGGACTCAAATCTAAGGGTGTTGCTGGTGGCTGTGTTGGAGTACCATGAACTATACTGCCCTGTACTGTTGCTGTGGTTAATCCACTTAAACCTATCAATGATATAAATTATATTATAGTTTTAAAAGTTTTATATCTGAAATTTATAAAAAAAAAGAAATACCTTGTGTGATTGCTGCTACCCCTCTTTCATGTACAGGAGATCCAGGAATACTTGCAGGACTATGCGATGGGGACGCTAATCTTTGCAACTGTTGATATTCTTGTTGAAGTGCTTGAATTCCAGGTCCAGGTGGGCCCGAACCTTCAGAGGCTCTCCGAACAGGTGAATATCTTTCTGTAGAAACGTGAGTACTTGGTTCCTTATATGAATCTCTGTTGCCTACTAGAAACAATAAAACAAAATATTGTATTACTTAATTATTACAATTATGCAAATAACTGTGGTGCATATGAT